ATGCCTCTGAAAACAGCGACAGCTTCCGGAGTGAACTCATTAGCTACCTCACAAGTAGGTGCCCCTGATACCCCTGTCCTTCTGTGCCCCTTCCCAGACTTTACCTCTCCCTGTGAGAGGGGCCCTAAGTGCTTGCAGGGACTGATCTCCCTAGTGCTCTCTGGCTCATACAAGGGCCTGGAAGCTCAGATCCTGGGTAGTGTCGCTGGGACCCTCACTGAGCTTCCACTAATGCTGGTTCCTCCCAAAGGTCCTGATGTGCGCAGCTTCATTGTTGGCCCCCCTGGCCCTCCTGGGCCCCAGGGACCACCTGGAGACAGTCGCCTGTTGTCCTCGGAAAGCTCCTACAGCCGGGAGAGCAGATCCTCCTCCCACAGTGGAGACACCTCTTACAGCAATTCAATGGGCATAGGAGGAACCAGCGGAGGCTACCTGGGAGAAAGCGGAGCCTTTGGCATGGACATGGGCCTGGGCCGAGGATATGGGGCAGCAGAAGGTGGCATGTATGGTGGCCATGACGGATCATTCCGGCCTGGTTTGGCTGGAGGCCTGGACTACAACGAACTGGCTGTTCGAGTGTCTGAGAGCATGCAGCGTAAGTTGGGACGCAGATCCTCAATGCTGTGTGGCAGTGGGGGGAGATCATATGAGCATCTTAACATTTAGTCTCCAGAAACTCACTCATGCATTTCTGAGCACCCAGGCTGTGAGAACAGCAATTCTGGAATCAGCTGGGCAATGCCTGAAGACAGGAGGCCCCAACCTACTTCTCAGCCAGCTTAGTTATGGAGCTGCAGTCAGTGCTGGGCCCCATTATGCAGGGAACAGAACACATTGGGGTTTTTGTTCTTCGCTTTCCTAACTAGTTCTGGGTCTCAGAAGAGCCTTTCTGACTGGTGGCTTTCTGGTGGGGCTAAGGGAAGGTTGTTGACTAAGAAGCCTTTTATCAACTTCTCAGCAGTTATGCAGCCAAAAAGCCTTTGATGACAGCCCAGACTTGTGCCAGTCAAGAGCAGAGACTCAGGAAGCCAGCAGGGCTTTTCCCTCACTGCCACTTCATTTGTCTTAATTGTGCAGTTAGATGATCAAAAGGCCATGCTCCCATTGATAAGAGGGTGCTGAGCGAGACTGCTTCCTGTGCCCACACTTTGTTGTTTTGCAGGTCAGGGCCTGCTCCAAGGGATGGCCTACACTGTCCAGGGCCCACCAGGCCGGCCAGGGCCCCAGGGTCCTCCAGGAATCAGCAAGGTCTTCTCCTCCTACAGCAACGTGACAGAAGATCTCATGGACTTTTTCCGAAGTAAGGCCTTGCCGATTGCTTTCCCAACACCAGACTTGTTGCACAGTCTCACATGGTGCCTGCTTCATAGGAATCTGTCCTGAAAAACCTCATTATAAACACTTGCAATGCTGAAAGTCTGATAAAGCTGTCTTCCTCTTCTAAGTCCAAACTATCACCCAAGCTTCAAAGTGATCTTGAACCTAAGGCCAGTTTCCTTCCCCCCTTTCAGCTTATGGAGCTATTCCTGGACCCCCTGGGCAGAAAGGAGAGATGGGCCTCCCAGGACCCCAGGGTAAGTGTTAGCAGGGAACTGGCCACTGGGATCCTGTGTAATACCCTCCTCGGGCAGAGAGAAGCATAGCTCCCTTGCCAGTGCTGGACTGCAAACCTGTGCCACTTTGCCAGCTGTCTCCTCTAGGCACTACAAGTGTGCCTTCCTGAACATGTCCCCTGTCTGTCTCCCTAGGTGAGAGGGGTCCAGCTGGACCACCAGGTCGGCCTGGGCCACAGGGCCCTCGAGGACACAAAGGAGAAAAAGGAGACAAAGGTAAGCAAGCCATGGCTGCCAGTTTCTGGAGTGCAGGGAAATCCATGCTCAAAGAAGCAGGTAATTTGTTCCAGAGGAAGCCTGAAAAATTAAGGTACCCTGAAAGGCAGACAATGCCAACAGCATGATTTGCATAAAAAATAATCAAATAAGCAGCTAGGGACGAAGGAGAATGCCAATGCAGAGAGGAAATGGAGAACCAATTTGGCCACTACAGAGGGTAAACAATTTAAATAGTCCTACGAAAGAGTGCATCTCTCAAGTCAGATTGGAAATAGTCACTGTAGCTGTTGCCCAAGCTACAGTCCCACAGTGGCCGCAAGATATTTTCTAACTTCCTACCCATCTTCTAACTTTTAGGTGACCAAGTCTATGCTGGGAGGAGGAGGAGGAGGAGCGTTGCCCACAAGCCCTGAGCTCACCTGGCAAACAGCACCCTGAAGGAGCTCTTGCAATGGCACCTCAGTCTCTCGAGGGTGTGAAAGCTGGAATCTACCAGTGTCCTACTGAGATTGTATACCAAACTGACAACAGGAACACCAGAGAGAGAATGAATCAGTCAAGGAAACACAATCTGAAACCACATCACTAGATGGACTTTAAATAGTTGGAGAATGAGACTGTTCTGGCTTCTTTAACACTTAATTCAAGCTCCAGCCCAGGAAAGGCACTTACATAAACATTGATTCAAGAGTCCTTAACCTTTGCCTGTAAAACAAGCCCCTAAAATGGAAGCTGGGGATGGGGGTGCTTTCCTGGGGGCACTTGGGAGTATGTTCTGGCCGCAAGGCGGTGTTATGTGCACCTTCCTCCCCGTCGGCCCGACATGCTATGCCTCTCTGCATTCTCTAGTCACAGAGAAGAGTTGGCTAAGAAGCAACTTTTGCGACTGAAAAAATTAAGAAATTGACCCCCTGAAGGTGGTGACAGGGTTTCTAATAGTTCTCACTAGATAGCATATTCCTACTTGCTTAGAAAGTTTGACTGTAGCTCTGATCCGTATGGTCCATACTAGAGTTTGTAGATACATTAGATTGCACTAGACTCAGCTAAAGGGAGAGGGCAGCGGGCAAGGAAGAAGGGAGAGCAGGGACGAGAGAAGGCCCAACACGGGGAGAGACGGTACCTCTGTGCTCCATTTAGGATATGCATGGGGGGTGGGGCTCAGTGGGCTTATAAGCACTTCCAGTGTCTGAAACATTTATGTGGTCTATTAGATGAAAAGTCATTTCAATTGTAAAATTTCCAATTAAAGATTTTTTTCTTTTTTAATATGTTTGATCTGTCTGACCAAAGTAAAAAAATAGAGAAAGAAAAACGTGGGGTTAATGGGGTTTGTCTCTAATGTTAATACAAACAGAAAGAAACAAAATTGGCTGTATTCTGGGACAGCATTTCATCTAATCATTGAGATCTTTAAAGGCAGACCTTTTTCTGAAACTACTAACTCAATCTGGCAAATCATAAAACATCTGAAGATTTTCCCAAAGCATAAGTTACTTGAAATAAACACTTATGCAACAGAGAAGCAATGAGATTTGCAATGAATGTAATGATTTTTCCGGGGCAAAGGAGTTATGATCACAGGGCAGTAATAAATGGAATACCAAAACAACTATGAAGGAAAAAATGTACAAATCTCAAATGCCCTACTTTCTGCATAGTAAAATCAAGAGACTCAAATTCATGAGAGGCTCTGCTTTGCCAACTTGTGAATTTGTTAAATGCTGAGACTCTCAACTGTTAGAGAAGAGCTTCTGAATTTTAAAAATTTTAAAAATAGGGTTAAACTAAATTCACTTCTACATCTTTAATCTTCCAAAAGATTGAATTGTTTATTTTCTTTGTGGTTGAATATCTCACATATTACCAGAGGGAAAAATACCATTACTCTCACTACATCAAATAACTGCTAGAAACAACAGTAACCACCAAGTTTCTACAGGGCATGTGTGCCTCCTCCATTCCAAATCGCCACCTGCTATGAATCAGTATGCAAATTCTAAAAAATTGAGAATTTCAGGGACTCCCCGGTGGCGCAGCGGTTGAGCGCTGGGTTGCGAAGCTGCCCGCAGCCTCTGCAGCGCCGGTTTGACCCCCGGCTGCTCCCCGGCCATTGGCGGAGGGTCCCACATGGCGCGCAGACCTCTCCTGCCGCCCGCTGCTCCCCTCAGCAGTGTGCTTCGGTCCTTCTGCCTGCTCTGCTCCCCGCTCTGGCTCTGGTGAATTCTCTCACCCTCCCGCGCTTCTCACTGTACCCAGTGCTTGTATAAATAAATAAATCTTTAAAAAAAAAATAAAAAATAAAAAATTGAGAATTTCAAACAACTTATTACCTAATGAAAACTCACTATTGTATATAATAAATGACAGCATCGCCCCTTTTTAACATTTTTAGTTTTACCTAAAGGTTGACGCCAGTTATTTCTACAATACTAGCTTTAGAGGCTCAAGTATTATATCCCCTTTAATGATTCTTGCCTTAATTAAAGAATTTTACCCAGTTACTAGAATTACCTTTGGGCACAGAGCTCTATGGCCAAGTGAAATAGGGTAAAGTCCAGACCTGCTTCCTTCTGGACAGAATCCAGAAAGAGGATGTCCAATGTCAGATGTGTCCTCAGCTGGCTGCAGTGACCCTGAGACTCTTCTGTTTCGTTAAAAAAAAAGTCAAGAATGAACTTACAGTAGTGTGCAAAGCTCCTGGATTAGAAAATGACATGCTATGCTTCCCTCAAGACGCATCAAACGCTTGCCAAGTGGTAGCGAGAGTCTACCGAATCTTGCATGCATATATCAATAACAAAAAGGTTATTTTTAGCAGACGGGAGATCATATACTTCATGAAGTATTTAGTGAGAAAAATAACCCCTACCAAAGGAAAAAAGAAAATAAAAAAGATGTACATATACCTATGTTGATGGAAGTATCTCAAGCACCTCCCAGAGGAGGAGTCTGTAGCTTGAAAGTCATCCCCACCCCTTCCAAGTTCCCAGTAAAAACTACATTCTTGGGTGTGGTGATTCTAGATGGCTTGGAACTCTAAGTCTGAAAGCACCAGACGATCTGGGATTGCAAATTCTAAAAGATAATTAAAACCAAAATAAGCTGCAAAATGCTCTCATGCAGGACAATCTAGTTTCAAAATTCCAAATAAAAGACCACTTCCCAAAATGATTAAGAAATAACTTTATTTTTCATTTGTCAATCTCATGATTGAAAAGACATGTTGCTACCAAACAGACAAGAGGCATAATATGAAACAAAAATTCTTTCTGAAAATTTACTTGTGAAGATAATACACTGCAAATCAGAGAAGGATCACAAAAAGCTGCAGCCAACACTTAAAACTGGTATAACATTTTATCCCAAGCTTAGTAGCAGAGATTTAAAGCTATATCAAACCATGTCTGACACAGAATAGCAATAATAGAGGCATTAACTGTTGTGCCTTCAACTGAAGAAAAACATTTAAAATGTCCCATATCCTATAAAAGATCATTTCTCAAGAAAGAATGTATTTATTTAATCAGAAGACTATTAGAACTGGAACTAACTCTCCTCTTCCACCTCAGTTCTAAGTTTTCCTTTAATGGACTTTATCTCTAGCTAATCTTTTGACAGAATTTGGCTTCTTGGAAGAGTCTTTGTCATTTAAGCACAGTGTGGAATGGGAGAAAGTGTGTAGTTACAAGGGAACTAGAAGAGTATAAAAGACAGTCACTTCTGAAACTCGCTGATGCTCAAGAAATCAGAGACCCTCCATTAAAGAAGGTCTCATATGCCTGAGAGCTTTGTGCTTGAGGAAACACTACTTAGAGGTAGCTCTGGTTCTGGTTTATACTTAATTACAATTTGCTGTATCCTGTCAAAGGAAAGTTCTGATCAGCAAAATAAAAGCACTCTAAATTTCCTCCTTACCCACCCTACAGCTTCCCCATAGAAAAGGGTAAGGAAAAGCTTAATTGTGACTCCATATAGAATAGCAGCTAATTCAGCAATTCACACCCAATTATGGATTGACAGGATAGGAAAGGCAACCTGGTACAAGAAGCTCTGTGAGCTAGACCTGCAGTGTGGTGGTCTGGTGTTTTCACAGCATGCAGGGAGAAGAGGGGAGGCTGAGTAATTAGGGTGCACATATGGGGAATTTCTTTTCTGCATTTCTTGCATGCTGCCATGGCAACGAAACAACCAAATCAGGAATGGATTTGACTATACTCTGATTTCAAAGAAATTTGTGCCCCTTCTCTACTCCCCATCCCATTTCATGCAAGATCACTATTACCTATTTGAATATATGGCCTAACAAGAAGTGGGCAGAGACAGGCACACAGCATATTTTCTATAACAAAACACTTGCTGAAAAAACGTAACTTTAAGTATTAAAATGAGTATTTCACCTCTACATATGTATCATTTTGTAGTCCTGCATCCACATAAATATGGTCATATTTGAAAGAGAACTCAAGCACAAACACTGAATCCAAAGGGCAGTTTTAAGGGAGATGCAAGGTTTGCTAATAAACTTACCAGAATGTCAACTATACTACTCTGAGTATCTTCCTTTATTCAGTACTCCGAATGTCAAGTTGAAAGAAATAAAAAGAATCAAATGTTCAGAACAAATTATGTGCCAAACAATTTAGCATTCAGGAGATCATTTAAATGATACTGAAAAATTGTCTACTGCTTGAAACATTATTTTTAAAAAACTGATAAACTGAAAATTTCAACTAAGAAAGTGGTATGAGAACATTCCTCTTCTCTCCCTCTTAAAATAAATCATTAAATACACTGGGTATTTTTATCGTAACAATATAAACAATTTCCATCATTATCCTGAATATTACTTTATAAAGATACACATTTTAAAGGGCTTTCAAAACATTTTTCAACCCAGCTTTTGAGAATAAAGCATTAAGAGTCTTGTATACAGTAACACAGCCATGTGATAAGTGTATGAATTTACAACCATACGTTTTATATATATATATATATATATATATATGTGTGTGTATATATATATTTATATTTAAAAAAAAAAAAACTTGACCAAAGTTAAGGCTACCTACAAAGTTTTCCAAGTAAATTATTTGTCAAATAATTACAAAATTAAAATCACACATGCATTTTTAAATCATTTAAATGACTGGCAAAAAAGGTTCGGCATCCAAAGTTTTCAAATTAACTGCAAGAAAGTGCTACAGATATTTACATTTTCTTAATGAATCAGTGTTCTCACAAAATTACACTTAAATTCTCACCAATCTCAAACATAATATTACTAAAAACTGAAACTTCTACAAGTTGGTACCTAGTACTCTTAAAAGAGACTAAGTTGCAAAGGGCAGGTAGCAAGAATCATTTACCAATGTGCCACCTTACACACCAAAGTACAGTTTATAATACTGTTTGACCTGACACGTGCTTGAAATTCTAAGCCTCAGGAGAGGCTAAAAGTGAACATTCATTTCATTAATAGTTACACATATCAGCAATCACATGATAAAGGTTTCAGGCTTATCCCACTCATATCAAAGTAAATAATTTAAACATGGAACAAAATAAAACCAAAATATAAAGGATTTTATTTCAAAACAGCAGTGATTTCTGACATTTGCCTAAATATTTAAATTCTTTTTGAAAAAGTATTCTGAACAAATGACTCTTTTAGATTAATTTCAGAAAATACACTTATAAATACATGTCAGAGCCTGTAGGCCCCTGAGAGAATTTTAAATGAACATAATTTGTTCAGGTGAATAGTCATTTAACCAACTCACGTATTATTTTATGAAATAAGCTGGGACAGCTAAATCTTTACTACTAATTTGGTGACTCATTTCCAATTTGGACACCTTTAGGTTATTTTTTCTTTCATCTTTCCAATTTTATACTGTATATATTTTAGGATAAAAATTTCTATTAAATGGATTAGGAAAAACATGATAATGCTTAATGTTATGGGTATTTTGTTACTGCTGAATCAAAAAAGAAAATCCTATTTTAGACTAGGTTGAAATTTAGTGTTTTAGGCATTATTTTAATAAAACTAGCACCATAATTACAGTTCATGCCTAAACAAGTGGTTATTTTAGACAAATTATTGAAATAACTTTTTTCTTTTTAAAAGAAGTTGTTGCTATTTAAAGATAAACTGTATTTATTTACTGAATCAATATCGTATTTTGAGCAACTCATGGCTTTTCCGTGAGAGCTGATTCACCAAAAGAAAATTATTCCAGCTCTTTACAGCAGAGTTTCAATTATAGAATTTAAGCATTATTGACAAGTTAGGTCAGATAAAAATGATATTCAGTAATACTTAGTAATGTAACAGTTTTCTTTTTAAATAACTTTAAACATTGTATCTCTAACAGTTTTTCAGGTAACAATCTCTAGAGAACTGTAATTTTTAAAAGTAATATACAATATTACCTTAGGGAATTACTGCACGATGCTTTTTTGCCAACATGGCCCAGCATCTGTCTTGGTTCCTTTCCCTTCATCTTTGCTAATAAACAACAAAAAACACCTAAAAGGTGAGGGAGGTGATTGTCTTCATGAGCTCTCTTACATAGACTGTGGCAGAAGATGAAAGGATAGAATGACTTATTTCAAACACCAAAATCAACCACAGAATGCATTTGTTCCATTGCTATGATCCCGTGGAATGCAAACTAGGAATAGGATAGAATTTGGAAATCCGGCTCTGTGTTGATGGGTTAAGGCATTCAGACTCCCCGGTCATTTTAAAGAATACTTCCTGTTCCTGCAGCTTCCTGGCAAACTCTTCTTCCAGTGTCTTGAAAAGGAAGGGGAAAAGAAATTATGTGTTGATATTACAAAGAGAATTTACTCTGACAATCCAGAGCAAACACTCTCCATATTTTACCCTAAGAAAAAACAGACTACTCAACAGTTAGGACCACAGGCTGTGCACAGCCTTAGGTTCAGCCTTCTGAATGGAATAACTTGGATCAATTACTTAATTTCTCTATATTACAAAATTATTTAATTCTGCTGTAAAATAGTGGTCATACCACCTACCTCACTGGGTTACAATGTAAGGGTTAAACGTGATGATGTACATAAAAGAGACTAGGCACTCAACAGATGGCACCTATTATTAACTATTATCTGTAGCTCCCATGCAGTACTTAGCATTTTCCTTTTCATTTCAATTATTGATATGCATATTTTTTTCTTCAACGCTGTTTGGAGGTAATACCTAAAGCAGATTCAGCTTTATATCACCACAATACAAAGCAAATATGGTAAGTGCTTGATAAATATCTGAAATATCAATGACTGTGTAGACAAGAAATTTAGGAATAAGTGCTGCTATAGAGGTACAAAGTACAGGAAAAGACAGAAAGACACAGGAAGGTTTTTCAGAAGAGGTGAAACATGAGCTTAGCCTTAAAGGAAAGATGATAATTTGATCAACAGAATAGGGAAGGCACACCTGACAGGAAGCTGAAACAATGTGCAAAGGCTAGAAACCCCTGAGTTGGTGTGAGTAATGTGATTATACCTAGTCCTCAAATATGAATTGGGAACCAAGTGGCTAGTGGGAAATAAAGCTAGAAAGACCGGCTACGGATTGTGTAGTACTATGAAAGCTTTAAACTTGGGTCAATTACTGATACTTCTCTTTATTACAGAATTTTTACTTTTTCTGCTATAAAGAAGAATAATACCATCTACTTCAATGGGTTGCTATGTAAGAATTAAATGTCATAATGATGTATTTAATACATACTAGGCATTCAATAGATGGTGCCTATTATATTAACTATTATCTGCCTCTTTGAGTCAAACCGTGGCATTTATATTTTATTCTGGTAGAACTGAAGATTTATCGACACCACTATGACAGTATCAGAGGTGTTCCTGAGATAAATACTCTGGAGATGGCAGGCAAGTAGAAAGAAAGGAAAGGGAACCAGAGACCAGAAGGCCCACTGAACAGTAACATACAATTTTAAGCAATAAGATGACAGTAATTGGAAAGAGGATTATTATGAAAAGAGTCAACATTATTTATCATCTGATTAAACATGGGGTACATTGGAAATGAAAAATAATTCCAGTTTCTAGGCTAGATGTCAACTAAGAGAACTGGAATACTGGATAAAAAATCTGATATGGGGGGAACTGGATAGCGGTGGGATAGATGAGATGGAGATGAAGGAAAAAGCATACTGAATTTAGTTTTATTTCCACTGAGTTCACATTTTGTAGTTCACAATGTACTGATCATTTGCTATGTACCAGAAACTGCTCTAGAAACAGTATTTATCAGTGACCAAAGAGATGGCGCTCTTGCTTTAAAGGAGCTTATGTTCTCATGGGAGAAGACAAACAGTAACAAAATGTGTCTTGTGATGATGAATGTTATGAAGAAAAACAGAAGATGAGGGAATCAAAAAGAGAAATCCATGATGAGAAGATATTGGAACAGAGGCCTGGATAAAATGAGGAAGAAGGGAACATCCAGATGGAAAATGGCCATTTGGAGCATGAGTCAATAATAATAAAAAATAATAATAGCAACCACTTAGTTGAACTCTGTCTATAATCCAGGTGTGAGGACAAGGGTTAAACACACATCATTTAATTATCTTAACAACTATGAATTAGGTAGGTAGTTACCATCTTCATTTTACAAATGAAGACAACTGGGCTTAGTAATGTTATGTAACAAAATTAATCAGTGTCAACATTAATATGAGAACCCAGATTTTTACGACTTTAGAGTTTACACTTTATACAATCCCCACTAGACAAGTTTTGGAATTGTCCTTAACTATGCAACCACTGAAGCCAGGACTAGCTAAAGATCATCCAGATAAAGAAAATAGCAACAGGTGACTGGAAGATAAAGCATGAATAAAGGTAGAGAAAGAACAGAGTTATAACATCAAAATCACCTGAGAAGGCAATTTTATGAAGAAAGATTTTTAATGAGAACAGTCAGATAATGCTACAGGATTAGGTTATTAATAACTCATTTATCATCACTGTCAACAAGCTCAACTAGGGAGCAGACCACAAAGAGTTAAAGAAGAATCTGAAGAAAGGGACTTCTCACTGTTAGCTTTCTGTACCTTGTGTATTCTGAATCACATAACTGTATCTATTAATACTAAATTTTAAATGAAAAAGTCACATTATCAATTGATTTAGTCATTTCACTTCCTCTGGAAATCTTTAGTACATACTTGGTGCTAAGTATATTACCTCCTGGACTGATTGTCTGATTAGATGAATGGAAAAAAGGAATGGTTAAAGTGCACACAGCAGACAGGAAAACCAAGAGAAAATAAAGGCTTAAATCTGAGAGTTATTAAATGAAGAGGATCATAAGTGCTAGCAAAAGCAGAGTTGAAATGGCTGATCAACTGGACCAGGCCAAAAGGGAGTAAAGTACAAATAGGGAAGGTGGTTGGCTAGGGGCGGAGAGAGGCCACTGCTCTTTTATTAGACTGCCAGCTAACAGAGCATACCAGGTCCTTATAATCTGTTTCCAGTTAATCTGTCCAGACTAAATTGCCATCATTTCCTTCCTTTCCCTCCCTAATGCCTACAAAGGCACACACTTCCCCTAGTGCTCCAACGATAGGGAGCTACTGATGATTCTTGGATTCACCATTTCCACTCATTTTCTCCTCTATTTAAATTGCCCATCCCTCAAACTGTCTGGCCAGCAAAACCTCATTCACCCCTCACGCCTCACTGGGATTACAAGGCATCTTCTCTCCAAGCTTCCATGACCTGCACAAGCAAACTCACTCATTCCTCCTTTCACTGTTTATGTGTGCTCCTCTCTCTGGTGCCTTCTCTTACCCTTTCAGAGCAATGACCCTGCTGACCTGGAAATGTTGTTACTAGATTCTGAACCTTTGGGGGAACAGGGACGTTATCTCTTCATCTCAGAATCTCCCACTCTTGAGACTACACTTCATTTTTATTACGTAAAAAGCCAATAGCTGGGGGCCTCCCCTGGTGGTGGAGCGGTTAGGCGCTGGGCTGCGAGGCTGCCTGCAGCCTCTGCAGCACCAGCTCGATCCCCGGCTGCCGGCGAGGGTCCCACAAGGCACGCAGACCTCTCCTGCCGTGCCTGCTGCTCCCCTCAGCAGTGTATTTCGTCAGTCTTCCTGTTCTGTTCCCCGCTCTGGCTCTGGTGAGCCCTCTTACCCTCCCGTGCTTTTGAGTGTACCCAGTGCTTATATAAATAAATAAATAGCCAATAGCTGGGTGGAAGGGTGGGTGGCTGGATGGATGGACGGATGCAAATATATTTTAAATAAAGCTTTTAAAATCACCTTCTTCCTGGGCCGCAGCTTCTCTCTCCAGTCCTTCAGCTCTTGGCTGTGCTCCTCGTCCAGCTCCTTTAGCTTCTGAGTCTCGTGTTCAACCAGCAGGTGGCATTTCTCATTCTGAGAGTAACATTTGGATTAAAGAAGTATCACATTGATTTGGCAATTTTTCACAAATACAATTATCTTCCAAAACAATAAATTACTCATCAAACATCAAATTAGTACTGAGGCTTGAATTCTCCTCTAGAAACAAGACTTCTAGGAAGAGTCAGAACTCCATTCCTCAATCTAGAAGCTAGATCTCTAACCACATGAAAAGAACTTAAAGCATTAGTTTGATCCTATTTTTCCTTTCTAAAAGGGTCTGCTTATAAAACTGACACTTCAGAGGGCAGTTTGCATGCATGTTACCTATTGCTGCAACAATGAGGTATTAGAAACTATTCTAGGAACTAGTAAGGTAAGCAAATATGTACGCACAATTTATACACTACTCTGAAACTCTGAACATTTTAGGCTGGATACTTTAGGTAAAACCCCAAAACAGTACTCTCTAAAGTAACCTTTAATTTTCTTAGAAGAAAAATTCTCATATAGTTTATTATATTTTTCAAACACCTTGAAGAAAATAAACTATTTCAGAATCTGATAACAAAGCTGCCTATCACTTTGAAAACTGCTCATCTTCTTTGAAAAATAAACTAAAAGTACTAAAAATAAACTAAAAATTTTTAAAACAAATGTTGCAAAAGATTCAATTTCTTAGATTTTAATTTAGCTTTATGTTTATATTGAGCATAGTTATATAAAATCTAAACAAATGCCTACTATGCTAACTTCCATCTGGGTCTACATAGGAAAAAAACTCTAAACCCCAGCATTTTATAAGTACAGTACAGTGTACTTTGGTGAGTTACTATCTCCTGAAAACCCGAGACCCATGCTGCCTTCTACCCCAGCTCTGCTTTCATGCTCTATAACCACCTGCAGCTGATGTAGCTCTCGCACGTTGGCTTCACACTGCAACTGAAGGTCCCGCATTTGATTTTCATGTTTTTGATGCTGAGCCATTCTCTCATTTTTCTGTCTCTTTTCTTCTTGAGCAGCAAACTATAAATAAGAAAAACAAAAGACAAATAATGGTTAACAAGCAAATTAATTTCTGCATTTTTCAAAAGTGTAATTAAGGAATTTAACAAAACTGAAAAGTATGGTAAGCTAAAGGGGCAAGTAATAATATGCTGTGGCTCAAAGCTGGAATCTACATCATGGTTTTGGTGAGGAGGGGGATACTTCTAATTAGCCTTGTTTCTCCTAATTGCTTAGTGACCTCAGTTCATTTGTGTGTTGGAACTGTAGAATATAGTGGGGCCATATATTTTGACTTAAAAAGCTCTCTAAGTCTTCTCACTCCCAGGGCTGGTCTAAGGACTGGTCTATCCCAGGATGTGGTATGGGGGTTGAGGGACGGAGGGATTTGCCCTCTGTGGCCCCCACCATGGGAAGACTAAGTTGTATATGCCATGTATCTGGACCTAGTCATAGAACTAAAGAAACTTCAATAAGCCCAAGATGCCTCTAAATGTTTACAACAGTCATGTGGGCATTTCCTAAAATGCTGGGATTTATATATTTTAAACCTAAAATAATTTGTCCGCTTACCTGTTTAATTTTGTCACGGTCCTGGTCTGGTGAGGCTGTTGAGTTAATTCTCAAACTTTTCTTAAACATGGCCATTCGAGTCTTGGCTTCACTTCGCTGAATCTTAGGCAGTCTTGCTCTTTCTTGAGTCTGTCTGTTTTTCAATTCCTCAATAAGTCGTTGATTATAACGCTGCATTTGTTCCGTTTCCTAAGAAAACAACAGCATCCAGGAATACAGCATAATTTAATATTCATACACAGGTATGTTCATACACATGTATGTTCAAATATGTCATTTCATTATTTTCCAAAATTACTCTCCCTTGTTACTGACCAGCAAAATATTAAGCAAAAAATAATTTTAAAGAAAAATAAAACTATTAGGAATAAGAGTCTTATATTGAAACTTGCTTTTATTAAGTATACAGAATCCATATTTTAAAAATAACTAAACCAGGGCCTCCCAGGTGGTACAAGGGGTTAAGTCTCAGTGCTATTAAGTTATCCTCAGCCACTGCAGCATGAGTTCAATCCCAGCCAGGGAGCTAACCGACATGGTGCAGCAGACCTCTCCTGTCTTGCCTGCTGCTCCCCTCAGCAGTGTATTTCAGTCAATCTGCCTGTTCTGTTCCCCGCTCTGTCTCTGGTGAATCCTCTCACCTCCCCCCATCTCTGACCTACACCACAGATCTTATATGCATAAGTAAATAAAATAAATCCTTAAAAATAAATAAAACTAAACCCATAAATGGAGCCAAAAAAGATACATTTGAAAGACCAGATGAAAATTATAATATGTAAGATGCCTTTAAGCATTATAATCGGTTACCTCCCTTGGTATCAGTAGGAAAGAAGTTTATAATCATGATCAAGATACAATTAATAACTCAAAACTTAATGGAAATTTTAGGATAAAAGAAAGGAAATCCAAAATTCATTCTCCAAGAAACATGTTTCAAAGTGAATTGTTCTGCAAACTTTAAAATGAACAAAAAAAAAATGAACAAAATTTCCTTTCATTCACCTTCTCATGGCGCTTAAGCAGCTGATGTCTTTGCATGAAATACTGATCTTTAAGTTGCTGTTTCAGCAACTGGTGTTTTTCTTGTAAGTGTCGTTCTTCAAGTTCCCAAATTGCAGCTTCTCGAGCTAAAAGAAAGCAATTTTCAAAATGTCTCTTTGCTCTTTTTACTATGTATTTTGGTCTTCATTTTTAAATATTTACCAAAAACGTGTTCTATGTACACTAACTTAAACATATATTGCCGTCCTGAGTTATAAATGAAATATTACCAAAGACAGGAAGTCCAACTCCAGCACCAAAATTCTATTTAATTATCTTAATCAGAAAGAAAAAATATCTTAATTATTTGTTAGGGGAAATAAGTACTTAAGATCCCCTTCTAACATGTAGGCATTAAGTACACCAAAAATTATAAGACATAATTAGAATTCCAAAGTACACAGGTATATTTCCGGATTATTTGGACAAAAAGATGTTTCAAAGATTACATGGTTATGGTCAAAAAGGAATTCTGTATATTGCAGAATTTCCTAAATTTACGAAGTATTTTCCTGTTATTTACCTGAATTTTCTTTATCTTTTCCTCTACCACTCTAGTAAAGGAAAGCATTCAAATAAATCCAAGGTCTATCTCAGTAAAGTTTTTGGGCTATCACTTTCTACATGTACACATGCTGCGTAATTTTATATACCTCTCATGAGCTGCTGTTTGTTGTTCAGGCACTCTCTCTCAATATTGGCTAATTCTGCCTTTTGCTGCTGGATGATCTTTTTCAGAGAGCCATCCAATTCTTGTTGTTGCTTCTGAACAAACTCTTGTTCCTATTAGACATAGTTAACCATCAGTTAACAAACAAGTATCTATTGAGCAAAACATCCACTTATCCATATGACTGTATATATTAGTGATTAACAAGTTCTCTAAACCAAGTTTCTAAAAATTCAATTTAAAAAATCACCAATATTATACAATATAAATATATAACACAAATGTATTAGTCATCCAATTCAAGCCAAGAAAAAAAAAAAAACCATAATACAAAATATGCTAAACTCACTACCAAGAATACACTCAAAAAAAAAAAAAAAAAACTATAACCCACTCATATTTAAAAAGTCCTATTACACTGACATCTTTGTGAAAATAAATCTACAGCTTCTAAAATTGTTATGTTCCACTATACCAGACAAGACTATTCTTGTCTTGTATAAGATACAAGAATAATAAAGTCCTTTTAGGAAGACAATAAAGAGCAAATAAGTAAAACATCCAAGAATTTTAAACTATTTTTGTAAAAAATAATAATAATAAAGGAAGAAATAATACGGCTATACTAATAGAGATAGCCTGTGCCTAAAAAGAAGAGCAACAGTTTGAGGGCTTAATGAGAAATAATTCATAGCCAGAGAAACATGAACCAGTAATAGGAAAGTGAGTTACATTTTATAACTCTATAAATAAAATTCCATAAAAACAGAGAATTCTATCAATATGTTTTGAGATTCACACATTCATTCAACAAATACTAAGTACAAATTTTCTGCCCAAATGCCAATTAAGCTTTTTTAAAAAACTCTTCAATTACTGCATAAGGCAAGAAAATTTTAAAATGACTTAAGGTTTTTGTATTAGAGCACACATACACCAAGAAAAAGGAGCAATATCCAAACTGAAGAAATGTAAGTTTTGTCAGTAAATGGATCTCCATCCCTCTCTCAGCAGTTACAGCAGTTTATGATTAGCTCAAAGGATACTCTCATCAATCTCAGTATGGATTTAGAAATTCAGGGTTGAAGCAGCACTTCACCTATAATTCCTCCTCTTACAGCCAAAAGACAAAACCCAAAGATCCATTTGGAAATTATTCTATAGGCCTTGGACAGACTCTGACAGGAACTAGATCACTACCAGCCTGGTCTTTAATGCAAAAAGAATGAGTCTAACAGTGGTCCTCAAGGAGCTTGCCTTACTAATATGTTTCCAGAGGTGAGTATCAGGTCTTACCATTCATGATATCCTGTTAACCGTCAGTTAACAAACAAGTATCTACTGAGCAAAACATCCATTTATCCATATGACTGTATAGATTAGTGATTAACAAGTTCTCTAAACCAAGTTTCTAAAGTTAATTCGATTTAAAAAATCACCAATATTATACAATATATATACAATATATAACATAAACTTGGGACTCATAAATGCTACTGTCTCATCTGCATCATAACTTGTATTTTAACATAGATACTAATAGACAGTAGCAGAAAGATTAATGCATCATCTCTATAAAATATAATTGCTAACTGACTCAAACTGAATATTTACACTGAACTATCTACAATAAGATCTTTTGAGTTTTAAAGAGATGCAAAATCTCCATACCTATCTTTTAAACAATTATAACAAAGAAAGTTGTTCAAGTTTTTCTTCTTCCTACAGTAAATATCATTTGTAATAAAAATTGTTACTCTAACTTCACTGTAAAATTTCTACATGCAAACTGTTTAATAAACAATATAACCTGTAGACATATGAAATGATTCTCCCTGGTTTAACACTTTTACCACTGGCTTGCATAAAGGACTTTTGAAAAATATATGTGTGAACAGAAACAATGGGCTCAAATTAACTAGTGTAAATATAAATATTGACACACAAAGAAATCAAGTGCAAAATTACAAGATGGAATGAAGAAATGCCACTAGCATGAATGTAATTTCTTATGAACACAATTTTTGCTATTACTATATTTTTACCTGTAGTAAACAAGATAAGCATTCAGTTTAAAGAAAATCTCTGTATTTCTTTAAAAGCATTTTCTAAATACTAAGCACCATACTAGTTACAGGTTACTAAACTTAGTAAAAGACAGTATTACCTCAAAGAGCTGCCACTCTGTTGGTCCTAAATTGGTTTTGTCCATCACCCACATAAAGAATAGTGGGCCTCTTCCCTTAACGTTACACTTTCAAAGTCAAAAGTAAAACATGCCACAAAATGAACAACTGAAAGAACCACAGAAGTATGCCCTGAAGAGCTAATACATCAAGGCAAAAGAGGGAAGACTGTCATATCTAAACAGGAGAACTAGCATTGTGCTGCTCCAAAAGGTATGAAGAAGGATGGACACGTAAGAGTCAAGGCAGCGGAAGTAAGAAGTGCTTCCTAACACTCAGTCAGCAAAGACAGCAGATACCCTGGAGACTGATGGACTTTCATGATTCAGCAGAGTCTGGACGATTATGTGGTAAAAGATACTGCACAAATGATATCTTAAAGTTAAAAATTACCTGAAAGGTCCCTTATATAAGAGCATATTTTGTTAGCTTGAAAGGAAATTTTAATATTACCGAGCTTTCTTAACATCTCCTAACTTCTAAAGCCAAATACAATGCATCCATAATAAAATTTTTCATTAGAAATTACTCTTAGGATCCACAAGAAAGCAGTCTACATTCCAAAATGATTCACAAGTAAGATTCACCTTAAAAAAAACAAAACAAAAAAAAAAAACATGAATTTGATCACTAGGAGTAATTTTATTTTTTTTTCTTTTGTTGAAATTTACTAGAAGTAATTTTAAAGTGGACACAAATTTTAAAATGAGTATCCCTGTTTAACTCCTGACAAGGAATTTTATATTAATCAGATAATGATGAACATTGAAAATACAACTTTAGGGCCTCCCTGGTGGCTCAGCGGTTGAGCACTGGGTTGCGAAGCTGCCCGCAGCCTCTGCGGCGCGGTTCAATCCCCGGCTGCTCCCCGGACACCGGAGGAGGGTCCCACATGGCGCGCAGACCTCTCCTGCCGCCCGCTGCTCCCCCCAGCAGCGTATTTCAGTCCTTCTGCCTGCTCTGCTCCCCGCTCTGGCTCTGGTGAATTCTCTCACCGTGCCGCGCTTCTGACTGTACCCAGTGCATGTATAAACAAAACAAACAAACAAACAAATAAATAAATAAATAAAAAATGCCTCTATAAAAAAAATTAAAAAAAAAAAAAGAAAATACAACTTTAGGTTCTAGGAAACTAAGGAAGGGTTATTATATAATGGGCCACTCACACAGAATGTCATCATTTTAACTCAAAAGCTAAAAATGGTAATGATCAGAAAAGTGATAGTAATTCATAATTTCTCCCTCTCATTAAAAAAATTAATGTTTTCAAATTTACTCTTTCATAAAACTGTAGAGTCCAACTGCTCCAAAAATACCCAAAAAAATAAATAAATAAAATAAAGAGTCTAATTTCAGAAGAGGGGAAAATAGAAGTTGAAATCAAGCTGTATTCATTCTATCTACTCCAGTTGTGTATATCAAATATCACAAACAAAAATTAGTGTTAAATGAACTAGCTGCTTTCCTATGTAAACTGTGAGAAAGAATACAGCTTGGAATTCCAGACTTAATTCACAACTACAGCATAGAGAACAGGAAAGTCACTATTCATTATGGATACTTTGTTTTTTTTTTTTGTTTTTTTTTTAATTTATTTGTTTGTTTGTTTTTATACATGCACTGGGTACAGTCAGAAGCGCGGGAGGGTGAGAGAATTCACCAGAGCCAGAGCGGGGAGCAGAGCAGGCAGAAGGACCGAAGTACACTGCTGAGGGGAGCAGCGGGCGGCAGGAGAGGTCTGCGCGCCATGTGGGACCCTCCTCCGGTGGCCGGGGAGCAGCCGGGGATCGAACCGGCGCTGCAGAGGCCGCGGGCAGCTTCGCAACCCAGCGCTCTACCGCTGCGCCACCGGGGAGGCCCCATTATGGATACTTTGAATAGCAAAATCCAGAGTTAAATGAAACTAAAATCATTTTTAATATGACTTTTCTGACCATATCCATATTAAAACATCTACATAAACACATATGCAATCAAAATGTCACTTCACACAAAAATAAAAATTTAATCACAGCATTCAATTTCTCACATGTGCAAAGCTCAAAAAACACTGGGAAACTATTTCTTGAAAAAGATGAAAATCTCAAATTAAAATCTTTGGTAGAGTAGCTAGAAAAAAAGAACACTGTACTAGGAGTGTTCGACTTCCAGCTCTACCATTAATCTCTTCTGTGACTGAGGGCAGATAACTTAGTCTTCCCTGCCTGAATTTCTTCACTATATAGCAGATACACTGTATCCCAGTATCAGGGTGATGGCAGTAAGAATCAAAAACTCTTTGAAGAGTCAAAACTCTTTGAAGAATACAATACCATCAAGTTCATCTCAGGTTATTACTGTTATTGTCATTACTGACATTATCGTCTATCAGTCTTTTAGATTTTAACACACGAAACTAACAATGAAAAGGCACATGTGAGTCAAAGAAAAAACACGTAAAACAGGAGAAGGCATACTCCCATAAGCACGCGGGACTTACGTCCTGCATTTGGGCGTTGAAGACTGCACAAGATGACAACTGAAAAGACTGAATCATGACCTGGGCAACGCCCTGTGGATCAGAATACAAGGTACCTCCCAGGTGAGAATATAGCTCAATGACCTTTTGTAAATGGAAAGAATTATACAAATGCTGAGTTCCTTGAGGCCTTAGTAAGTCATTTAACAGAAGGGCCTCTTTCTCACCTGTAAAATGAAGGATTTGAGTGTTTTCCAAACTCCAATTCAGTACTATTGTTTTATAAACCCATCTAACCTTCTTTTTTTTTTTTTAAACTCATGCAAAAAAGTCTCAGTTTATAAAACAGACATGAAGTTGTATTGCTTTAAAATAGAAGCACGGGTGCAGAGCTTCACAGGCCCTCTCACTTTTTGAAGGATTCTCAAGCTGTATCTTCCAAAATCAAAAGCTTCTGGAAGCACCATTTTCTGAAAACCACTGGACTAGATGATCTGAAATCAAGTTTTAGCATCTTCAAAAACAGGTAAAAAGAAATACTTTTGAAATCTGTTACATTACTAAATTCCTTATTGAAGTTACAGAAAGAAATTTACCTCAGCTTTCAGCTTTTAGCTGGAAAATACAGGATAGCCCCCAAAATTACATGAAAAATTACCAACAAAGTTTTTATTAAAGCACAGGATTAAAAAAAAAAAAATATGCTAGGGATTGAATCAAAAAAAAAAAAAAAAAAAAGCACAGGATCACCAAATTCACTGAACACTAAATTCTCAATTTCAATTCTAGAGGCTGATATATTACCATTTAGAATTCAAAAGTCTATATTCCTTCCTTTACAAGGTGAACTCATTGTTATTATTTGGTTTGAAATTCAATCTACCCAAAAACACATGTGTGGCCAATAAGGACTTCCTCTTCATTTATTAACAAGAGATGGCCAACAACTACTGGGCCAAGCTGCTAACAGTTTATATTAGGCACAGAAAGGGTGGCTTAAACATGACAAGAAGTATGGTATGGGGTTTCATTGTGTGAAATGTGAAGCCAAAACTGCATGGATGAGAATTCTGGCTCTAGCACTAACTAAACCTGTGACCTTGGGAGAGTCAACTGTCCCATGCTCCCTCGCCTCTAGAATGGGGGTAATAAAAGTAACTATTTATGTTGTGAGATTATATGACTTCATACAGATAAAACACTTATAATAGTATTTGACACACAGCAAATGCTGTTTTTGTTATGATCACCTTAACTAGTAATCCCCACATCAGGTCAAGAAAAATTTTTCACTGGCACTAGCAAAACAAAACACACACACACACAACTAAATTTACTCAAATAGGATATTTTTAGTAAATTCTGAGGCATTTTTTTCTTACATAATTCTAATATTCTTATATCTTCTTATGTTTCTTACATTTAAAATATTCTCTCTTTTGAAATGATAGCCACAAAAAAAATTCTAATTTTTGTTTTTAAATAAACTTACTTGGCAAAGTAAAAAAAAAAAATTATTGGCAATCCATTTCTCATCACCCTCAAGTATACATTTTAGTTGTTTCTATGTTTATTTTCATTGCTCTATAAAGATCAAAACTCTGAGAAGCACTTTTAAAATTACATAAAACCAAAATGGCAGGGGGGGGAGATGAGAGGGCGAGGGGAAGAAGGACTAGAGTCAAAATAAGGGGGGTGGGTGCAATTGTATGGGGAATATAACCGTAATGAAAATGCATACATTGTGCAAAGATGAAAAATGATGTAAGAATTATATAAAATAAAATATTTTTAAAAAAACAAAATAGAAAGATAATTCAAAGCAATAATTACTATATAATCCTTCCTTGCACTGACATGTAATATAATCAAGCTCACTTCTCTTTGCTCGCAGGATAAGTGCAAGCTTAGTTATAAGGAAGGTTGATTCCTGCCGTAAACAACTTTGTAAAGTCACATGAGATAATTCTAATAAAAACTCTTGAAAATACTAATTTATCTAGTTTTATAAAGAATTCACACCCCTCTTAATTGGTTCAGCCTTATAACCTAGAATCGTTTACTTAGCTAAAAATAATCTATTTTTTAATTGCTAAATTCTGAATCAAAAAGAAAAACATGTTTAACAATAGCTTAATATATAAAATCTGATTTAGGTTGCTTATTTTGCTAAGTTTAACAGTAATAAATGTTTGATCTACCACTTAACATTTTTCTTTTAACTTTGAACTTATAGAGATAATGGTGTTTTAAAAAGCATTGGTTTTGCATGTACACAGCTTATATATTCGCCCTCCGTATTTTTCTGTTCTGAAGTTTTCAATCAAATATTGACACTACTACTTAAAAATATAAGCTTATCAGGATTAAAGTAGGAATCATTAACATACTTGTTTATTTCATCTGGAGTCAGCTTTCCAAACATTCCACTTAATTTCATATTAGTAACTTAAATGTCACCATTAGCGTGAATTTAGTATTACATAAAGAATATCCTGGGAACCTTTGTATGAGAAGTCAATGTCACATAATAAGTACAGTTAGAATTTACCCTTTCAACCATTGTTTACTGAGCTGTGGAAATAATGCTGCTTTCTGTTTTTAGTAGCAGTAAGCTGCTGCTGTTACCTGAGCATGCTGGCTTTGTGCAAGCTCCTCTTTCCTGCGTTTCATGAGCTCTTTTCTCAGCTCTTTGGGTGCTTTCTCCACTTCATTTATAACCTACAGTGTATAAGCATGCAGGAGGTGGGGAAATAATACTTTCTCCACAGCAAGCATTGTTGTGAGCAGACAAGCTACAAGCCAGATATTAAAGTTGTTAAAAAGTTCCTTTCTACATGCATTAGCATAGGTGTTAGTTTGGTGAAAAAGAATGAAAGGACAGAACATGCTTAATCTCAGCGCAGAAAGGGACATTCCACCATGTAAAGGTTAATTAGTTGCTTAATTATCCCTATATATTATTCTCTCTTAAAGATCCAAAGATAATCAGTGAAGAATACTTGTAGTACTGATGCTGAATTAAAGATGAATGATACAAATGACCTTCTTGAAAGATCATAAAATTATATGCACATCTATTGACACTGTTTGAAGAACTGAACATAAAGCTAACACCGGTTATAATAGTACAAAACTTCATAATTGGCTTGATAAAATCAAAGAAATAATTCTAAATGAAATACATGCAGTTGAATGAGAGAAAAAAAATGAAAAATGAGATCAAGCCTTAGAATAAACTAAGGAGAAACAAGTGGACACTAAATTTTGCTTATACCACTTTATATACGGTGTTATAAGAATGAATACATCTTATGATTTTGTGTTAGAGTAGAATACCATTCTCCTTTGCTAACAATTTAAGTCAAACTTAATTATCTAACTATAAAAATCAATTAATACAAGCACTCATAATATAACAGTTCTAGTAAGCTATGAATTTATTACACCAGATAAAGTGCAATTTAGAGTTCCTTCCAATCATTTCAAAATCCTAGATATGAATTTCATTTAACAACAGATCTATAATCGAACTATGGAAAACAACCATGTGTTCAATAAATAGAAGCACCAAAAGCAACCAGATTCCAAATCACCACATGCTATTGATGGCCCGTGAGAGACTGATTTTGATTTAACATAGTGCATTTAAAATTTCTCATTAGCAATTGCTCATGAAACCAAATCACCATTAAAAGGAAGAGACACCTCAAATGCAAGAAGTTTAGCAACAAGGAGAAAAATATAATGTAGTTATTTAAAATATACATATCACAATTTCAAACATGTTCATGTCTTCATGTCTAAAACTCCTACCCCAAAACAGTAAAATAACTAGAAAATTTTATATATTTAGGATTAAATGATATATTTACCTGTAAATGTTTTGATTTAATCTGATATTAAAAAATATCTTCTTAAGCCTCTTAAAAATAATTTTTAAGAAAATTAACATGTAGTCTCAGTAAAGTCATGCAACAAAGTGTAATTTTTATAAATGGGGGCTACATCAAACTATATACCATCTCATTCACTTTTACCTAAAGAAATCATAGAATATACTGTTTATTAATGTTTGATTCTATCCCTGTTAAGAAGGTTGACAAGTTCAGCAATAAGATGCTCAATTTTCTTAACATTTAAATGCTAAGTCAATGAATCTAGGTATTTGTTATATGCAAAAAAGGAGAAAATGCATTCTACTAGTTTGGATGAAATCTTTTTTTCCAGTCTTAGTAGAACTGATCATAATTATTGTACCTGGATAACATGGCACATGACAAAGTAAATTCTCCTCCTACACTAAAGGCATAGAATAAATCATAAAAGCATCTCTGAAACTACTTGTATGTTAAGCTGTCTTAGCTTTATTTTGAGAAGAAAAAGACACACTAATATGTAAATCTTTCTGAACCAATATCAGTCTTTCATAGTAAGCGATACCACAGATTCTCTAACAGTATGGAACTGTTTCAGGGAAAATAAAACTATTCATTCTAAAAAAAATGACTTTTCAGACATTTTCCGCCTGTCCTTCTTCAAAATATCTCACAATGTCATGAACATAATTATAGATATTATTTTTAATTTCAGGTTACTAAGTTTAATGCAGGCACAATGTTCCGAGAGGCAATCAAATTAATAAAGAAAAAACTATTTTAATTATGAATTAAAAACTACAAATAAATAATGAAATCAACTGTTGCTACCTGTACACACAATATAGTTAAGTATTCTTGATGAAAATATTTCTATATAAAGGCCTTAAATGCTGCATTAGTAAAGGAGATGTGTTAAACTGGAAGGAAAATGAATTAGACTCAATTTAAAGACTTGGTTAAAGGTTAAGCTAAACATTTAATGGTTGTTTATGAATTTGAACTGGCCATTAAAACCCCTTATAGTTAGCTTTCTTGGCAGCAAAATGAGATAACACCTGGCCAAACTACTACCCAGCATGGTTTTGGGGAAGACCAAATAAAAGAATGAAGGAATGTTAAGTTTAACTATGAAGTATTATTCCTAATTTCTTAGACAATATTAAGTGTACATTAAAAGAGTAGCTTTAAGAATTAAAAGCAATAGGTACACTTACCTCCTTCTTTCGATTCTTTAACATATTCTGAAATTTGGACAATTCTTTCTCCTGTTCTCCTTTAATTCGTTTTGCTTCATCTCGCAAGCGATTTGTGTGTTCTTGTTCTAGACGTTCAATAGTCTGTTTCTGCTGCTTTTCTAGATTCTCAATTTCTTGGTCATATTGTCGTTTTTTGCTCTGTAAAACAACTCAAGATCATATAACTTTTCTATCACTCATGAACTCATTATAATAAGGACTTTTACTAAGAGCACACAATTAACATTTGAATTTAATGATGTGATAAAAACTTGCAATACTGAACAAGTCAAAAGCACTAAAATGTTAGGAAATTTTTCAAAAATATGAGTTTGTTGTTTACTAACTTAAAAAATATTTTTATATAACTAACAGAATGTTCAAAAAAATTAGACATTCCAGAACAATATCTAGTTGCTATGTAACATTAAAAAACTTTTAATATTTGTCAATAAAAATTTTAATAAAGCAAAAGGCTTACTTGAAGTCTATTATTAATGTACCATTACTTGTCATTTTCATATTTATTCCTCTTCATTAAGAGTCTTCAGATGGGGACCTCCCTGGTGGCACAGGCGGTTGAACATAGCGCTGTGAAGCTGTCAGCAGCCTCTCTAGTGCCAGTTCGATCCCCGCCAGCCTAGAAGCAACCCACATGGCGAGCAGACCTCTCCTGTCTCACCCACTGCTCCCCTCAGCAGTATATTTCGTCAGTCTGCCTGTTCTGTTCCCCGCTCTGTCTCTGGTGAATCCTCTCACCCGCCACATCTCTGGCCTGTACCCCAGTTCTTGTATGATAAATAAATAAATCTTAAAAAATAAAAAAAGAGTCTTAAGATGAACATCCTATTTCACTGAAAGAAATTTCTGGAAATTCGTATCCACTCTTTCAACAAAAGATTCCTGCATATATAATACCTGAATAATGTTGTCATTTTGGATATAGGTAGAATTAAATATTTGTAAAGGGTATTTTTAAAATTTTTGGAAAGGAAAACATTTTGGAAAATGTTTAGGGAGAAAAAGAAGTACAGTTTTTATAAGGTTCAGGGAAACTGAATTTAAGTACCATAAAAATACTCAATGAAAACAAAGTTCATTATTTTCTTACAAATTCTGCTATGATACAACAAATCAACAATGCCATGCCTACAAAACAATCCTTACCATTTACAAGAACAGCAAAAGAACTATATCCAAACATGAATACTGTAACATTTCAAATCTTTTTTCTAATCTACATTAAGCTAAATGCTCAACATAAGTTATTGAAATTTTGTATCCCATTATTAATTCCTTTTCCAACTCTAAACAAAAGATAAAAAATTAAAAGACTCAGTGACAATTACTCTTGAATAGTCAGTACTATGAATTTCTCTAGCAGCTATGAAAAGGAACACAGAAGCTTAACTGTAAGAGCCAGAGAAGTAAATGTATTTTTAAAAAAACCCAAGAGGTTCTAATATTCAGGGAACAAGAAGAAAACTATTCTACACTAGCTTAAAATCTTTGATTCAAAATCAGAAAGGTCAAACTTAACACCGAAAAACTGTCCAGCAGTAGGCAACATCTAAGAACTTTGTAAGCCATTTACTGACTCCATGAAAAGGCAATTTTTATTTAAAGAAAAATGAAGACAACAATTACACTGTAAATCAGTGATCACAAGACAGATGGAAGATGCTTTCAAACAAAGAAACAAAAAGGCCAAAAAAAACTATCTAGACACCAAAGAGATAAAGGCCAGAAATATATCATTATGTCAGAAATCTAGTAATCAAGAAAAAAGCTTACTAGTGGGTTATAGTGTACAGGACTAAATTTCATTATTAACAATGGTACAAAAATCTAAGACTTTACCAGCATTTCTTGCTCAAAGCGCCGGAAAATTTGTTCTCGCTGTTGCTGAAGTTTGCTATTGAGCTGTTGTTGGGCTCTTTGCTCTTCTTTTTGAAGAAATCTTAATTCCCGAAGTTCCTGACGTCTGATAGCATTTAATGGTAAGGACAGAGGAAACTATCATTAAACTTTAAACTATTAGAAAACTTTAAAAATAATATTTAAAATGAATCACCCCAAAGTAGCCATGATTTTACTTGTTTCTTAATTTTCAAACTTTTCAGAGACAAGGAAGTCACAGAACCAGTTTTAATTATGTTATATCTCTACTTACCTAAGAAACCTCAATTCTTCAGTTTTGGAATCACTGTCTGTAACTATCTTTGATGTTGTTACACTCACTTCAACACCATCCACAACAAATTTGCGTGTTTTCTTCAATGTTTTCTTTTGTCTTCTTGTTTCCTGAGTGAGATTTTATTTTAGTTAGTCTTTGTATGGGGAATACTACAGATAGAAAGCATACATTTTCTTCTTAAAAAAAAAAATTTGAGCAGCCATGAAGATTATTAAAACTACACATACAACATATGAACATAAAATAGTAAGAATTCCCTGTGAAACCACTTATGAGATCTTAAACCTCATTAGAGTTTCACATGACTTTACAGATGAAACAAAATTTTTTTCAGTAAAGTTATGCATATTGATGATGTACATGTATAATTTTTATGATAACATCATAATTAGGTAGAAGCGGTAATGAGCAATTCATATATATGACTAACTAGCATAACTTTTACGTGTTAATCACTTCTCTTCACCTTGTAGGTTTTCAGATACCTCTGCTTTTGAGTTTTAGAACCAATAACAAAACCTAAAAAATTAATTCCTAGGGTTCATCTCTTAAAGAATCTAAATCAACAGGACTGAAGGTATCTGGGAATCTGTATTTGAAAAAGTTCTCAAGCAATTTTTGAACACTGCCAAGACTGGATATCAAAATCCATTTCATCAGCAACAATAATCTCTCCAGGCTTCCTCCATCTCAGGGGTATGGATATGGATGTGTGATTTTAAAATTACTAGAAAGTCAACACCTCTACTGCATCCCCAAAGTACCATATCTGCCTGCAAGTTACTGCCTGTAGTTCTTTATCAAGATTAAACTCTTTACTCCTCAGTTGGCAATCCAAATGATATTTAAATTCAAACAGAAATAACAGAAGCATAACATAACTACAAATACATTTTGGTAAACATATAAGTATTGATAACAGAAAATTACTGGGTTTTAATATGGGGGAACAGATTAAAAAGCAGAGGTAGCAAAAGTGGAATATGAAAATGCTAAACTCAAAATGCATTCAAATTTTTTTTATTTTATTTATTTATTTATTTTTTCTTTTTATAGAGGCATGTTTTATTTATTTATTTGTTCGTTTGTTTTGTTTATACATGCACTGGGTACAGTCAGAAGCGCGGGAGGGTGAGAGAATTCACCAGAGCCAGAGCGGGGAGCAGAGCAGGCAGAAGGACCGAAGTACACTGCTGAGGGGAGCAGCGGGCGGCAGGAGAGGTCTGCGCGCCATGTGGGACCCTCTTCTGGTGGCCGGGGAGCAGCCGGGAATCGAACCGGCGCTGCAGAGGCTGCGGGCAGCTTCGCAACCCAGCGCTCAACCGCTGCGCCACCGGGGAGGCCCAAAATGCATTCAAATTTTAAAATTTGTCTTTGACACTTTCCAATCACCTTTCCACACCCTCTTACTATTGCATTCTCCAGGATCCCAAGATATGCATACGCTTCTCCATAAGTCCTAGACTATATAGCACCTTATCCAGGCTTCTTTAAATTTTAAAGTGAGCATGCTCCAAAAACAGATCTTCCTCCCATAACTTCTAATTTTTCCATTTCTTTAGCTTCTAAAAGTATCCAAAGTATTATCTCCGTAATTCTCATAGAAGGATTTGATTTCTTATAAATTCCATTAAGCCAGTGAATAAACTTTGGATTCATGGAATTTCAATGAAACAAAAACTGAAAATTGATGACAATCTAGGCAATACATTTGGGACAGATTAATCAGCCATGCCCTAAAGTCCTTTCCCAAAGGCCAGTTACCCTAAGTTGTTTCTGCTTTTCACTAGCTTCTTTTCTACTGTCAACCCAGAGTCTCTTATCACTCAACTGTATCAGAATTCATGGAATCTTTTGTTACAAATGCGAAATACTTGGGTCCACCCTAGACTTCTACATAGCTCCTTCTAGTAACTATTAAGCACACTAAGATTTAAAAATTAAGCTCTAAGAGTTCCAAGTTTTGGTTTAGGTTTTGTTTCTTTTCCCAAAATGATTCTCATAGCAGTTATGACTGATGGCTACGACCGAAGTGGTTAAGACTGGCAGTCACCAAGAACTAGTTATACCCTAAATGTTCTAAAAGGATATCACTCATTCAATTTCTCAATTCTTTCACATTATAATTAATTCCTGATAAAATAGTATCTAAATATGTGCAAGAAGTGAATTCATATCATACTAAGCAACTATATTATACTGTTTATATTAAGCTGGTGAAAACCAAAAAATTTAAAGATCACATCCAGAATCTCTCCTGGTGGGTCTTTCTGATTGTTTTCACAGGCCTTAAGAATTTTATAGAGCTAATACTATACTGATTTGTGCTGTTTTACTTACAAAACATCAGATTCACTTAAACTCCAAAATGACAAAGAAAAACCCAAACAAGGGTCAAAGTATACTTACTTGTAAAGATATGGATCCACTGTCTTTAGTTTTGCTTAGGAAACTAGAGATGGATAAATTCAAGTCAATGCTGCTATTATCAGCAGTGGACCCGGTGCCTGAATCAGTATCATTTTCCTTTTGATTCTCAGATTCTGGCAAGATGGCTTCAGTTTTTGATAAAGCACTTGTTTCCCTTTTATTTTCTGCATCTTCGGGGTTGATATTAATAATGGGTATTGGAACAAGCTGAGGTTCACCGGGTTGTGAAGCAGCAGTAACTTGGGGTTCTATTTTAATTGGCACTTCACATGGAATTTCTTTTTGCTCTGTATCTATCTGAGTAGTAGCTTTATGAGCATCCAGAGTTTCACTTCCTACAGCCTTCTGGTCAGCATGAATCACAGCACTTCTGACCTCTATTTCTTCAGTGCTACTTGACTCAGTAATTGCCGCAACTTCATTTGTTCCTGGTTCCTCACTGCTCTCCACAATGTTCTCTGAACTGTTGATTAATTGTTCCTCACTTCTACCTTCTACAGATTTTTGATCTATCTCCTTAATTTCAACAATTTCTTTAGTAGGAACTTCCTCAGTACCCCAGACCTTGGGACCCTCCATGGACTTACTGACTAATTCCTCACTTACTTCAACCACTCCTTCCCCATCACTACTCTGAGCATCTTCAGCATTATTTTCAGCTGCCTCCTGAGCAACATTTACTGCCTCACTTGTTCCTATTGCATCACTTGCATCCCTGATCACATCTTTTTGAATTTTGTCATCTCCCAATTTCTCTTGGGTATCTTCCTTTGTAAGCTCCACTTCATTACCAATTGCCTGAATATCTGCTTCTTTTTCTCCAGTCTCATGAGAAAATAAATCCACTGTTTGGACAGTAGTATCTTTAATTTCTTCAGATGTTATAACCTTATTTTCAAACATCCTTTGCTTTTCCTGATCCCTTTCTTCCTCAGGTTTCAGAGTCTGTTCAATATTTGTTTCTAAAGTTATCACTATATTATTCTCTTTTTCTTCATTAACTGAATTAATGTGCACAGTTGCTTGGTCTTCTGTAACAGGTAGACTTTCAAGCTTGGGTCTCTTCTCCTCTCTCCCATTTTCCTTAATAATTGTTCCTTCTTGATGGAGTGCAGACATAGTTTCTAAATGATTATTGTTAACATGTTCATGAGTACCCTCCATAGCTTTTTCTGATTCATCGACGATGGGTTTTTCATTAAGAACTTTGCTATTAAATTTATCTTCAGAAGTATTATGTTCTGATTTTTCAGAGACAGATTCCAAAATACAAGTGTTCTGTGAAAGTTTATCTTCTTCAGAGCTAGCAATACTAAGGTCAGAGGAGGCACGTTTACTTGTAGGTATTGGCTGAAAAAAGATTTTACACATTTTTAGTGTTAAAACATAGTTTCAAGATGGTAACTAATGCAATGTTTTATAAATATAATGATGTAGTAACTTGATCATTAACTGAAGTTATCAAAATAACTTAAAGAACAGATAAATCTCCACATAATATGACAAAAATGTGTAACAAAGAGTAAACTTGCTATTAAACACTCTAAAGTTAGATTTTGTATGGTAACCCTTTAATTAATCCTCAATATAGGTGTAATTGTACCTCAAAATCCAATTCTGAAAAATACCCAAATGAAATATTCATTCTAAATACTCACCAGAGAATTTTCTGTTTCCTCATCATCCTCTTCCTCTTTACCATCTTCAACTTCTTCTGTTACTTCAGCCTTTGCCTCTGCAATCAATTCTCGGATTGGTTTGTTGGAATCAACAGTAACAAAGGGATGCTGGTGATCATTAAAAAGAACATACTCAGTAATAGTTAAAATGCTTGCTTGCAAAGTAAGTTCAAACACATAAAAATGCACATTATTATGTGATTAAAACAAATCCATGGGTAGGGAAAATACAATTTCAGATAATGTTAAATCTGGAAAAAGGGAGAAAAAAGACTGAGTAGGAGTAGGGATGACCTGAAACTGCATTGTGTACCTTTTAAAAAAGAATATGAAGGAAATATATCAAAAATGGGGCCTCCCCGGTGGCGCAGTGGTTGAGCGCTGGGTTGCGAAGCTGCCCGCAGCCTCTGCAGCACCAGTTCGATCCCCGGCTGCTCCCCGGCCACCGAAGGAGGGTCCCACATGGCGCGCAGACCTCTCCTGCCACCCGCTGCTCCCCTCAGCAGTGTACTTCGGTCCTTCTGCCTGCTCTGCATCCCCGCTCTGGCTCTGGAGAATTCTCTCACCCTCCCGCGCTTCTGACTGTACCCAGTGCTTGTATAAATAAATAAATAAATCTTAAAAAAAATATATCAAAAATGATAACACATTACTTCTGGGTAGTATGTATAGGTGCTTGTCTATGTTTGAAAATTTCAAAATCTAAAATTAAATTAACATTTAATGCAAATTTTAAGTTAGTACAGTACTAGTTCTTACTAACAAGTAACAATACATCTAAATCCTGTATAAAGCCTCAATAAAAGAATTACAAAAAGCTTTAAAATTTTGTTAAAAGAATCTACAAACACTTGCTTTTATGATATAGTTTCTAACATTCTTAAGAGTATGAAGACCTGTAGATCTCTGCATACACAGCATTTAAGTGTCTGTCATAGACCAAAGTCTTCAAATGTGGGGTTAGTGAGACAATAAAAGAAAATGTATACCAGGGATACGCTTGTTACAAAGAACGTGGCAATTCTTCCTGCTTTATACCCCAGATAAACAGATCAATCTAGAACACTAAAATTAAGATGTTATACCACATCTCAACGTAACAGTAACTGCTTCAAGATTTGTCATTCTATTTGTCCACTTATAATGTTAATTATTTGCAAATTCTTGTTTCACATATTACAAACAGATTCTGTTTATAATTATCCAATCACTTTGCCACCATTTTTTGAAAGTCAGCAATATTTACTGATCATTTATCTCATTGTAAGAGACATTAAAAAAATTAATTAGCTTATGGTACCTGCCCCAAAGGAACTTGTTTTCTAGTAGCTGGAGTTACAAAATAGAAATAACAAACAAAATGAAACGGACACAAACTGAATCAAAAAAGGCAAAGGAAGAAAGATTTATAAAAGTCTTCTTGTAACAGCAGCACATAGGTTTGTATAGCGAATGTTTACTGCTACAGTGTATTTTGAACTTCCACAGGGAAAGTCAGCAGAAAGAGAGTATATTGAACAAATCTGAGATTGTATTTTCTTGAAGAGATGTTAAAACAATTTTATGGTTTGCTGTTGTCATATTAGTCTTATCCTACCTGCAGTAGTTGAGATGTATTCCACCTAGAATCCACATTCTTTTCCAAGCATTTCTTTAGAAAATCCTTAAAATTTGAAGACCTTCAAAATAAAAATTTAACATTTTATCTTACTTTCTTATTATTAAAATCAAACAAAATTCAGATAAATTAGTCTTATGTTTCATTATATAATAGTATTTATTTAACATAAGAGAACCTGTATATAAGAATATTAAGATTTTGTAAGTTATTAAAAAATACAAGTTAGAAACAGATGTAAACAGGTTCATAGTTTTAGACACTGAGATACAGCGAAATATTCACAAGTGTGACAAATCACAAAAATTCTATAATATTAAATTCCACAAATGTAGATCAATCACATACATGCTTCACTTTCTCATGGTACAGAAAATAACTGTTTTCACGCAAAACTCAAATCACTGATACTTTGAAATACACTAGGAAAACTAGTCATAAGAGTTGTATGATATTTAAGTCTTGAAAATATACCAAAATTCAGTTTTCTAATTCACAGTCTTCCCACCACGTACCTAAATTTAAATAGCCTTGGAAAACTGGAAGAATAAAAGATCAAGTTTTGATTCTTAAAAAGCTTTGTTTAGAATATTTTACCATTTTGATGGCTGCGCTAATGTAGGTGGTTCAGATTTTGCTATTTTTAGCAACACTCGCATTGGATTTAATTCATGATGAGGTGGTTCAATCTCTGCCATTTCTATTAAAGTGATACCCAGGGACCAAACATCAGCTTTGTAATCATAAGGTCTGTCCTTAGACGTTTCACACATGACCACTTCAGGAGCCATCCTATGAAAACAGGACATTGAAAGTTAAGATGTTTAACTTAACAAGTGATCGTAAATCTCATTAAATATATACAGAATAATTGATTATATAGACAAAATTAATGAGCAATAATTACTGACATATCTAATACCGTAAATCCATAAAACTGAATACATACCAATATGGTGTGCCAATAAAAGAATCTCTTCTTTGAATCGTCCTTGTGTTTTTAGCTGATACACCAAAATCCGCTTAAAATAAACAATCACACAGAAGTATTAATGATAACTTTCAAGCAAGATTCACTGTAGTTCAATATAGAGGAAAATCAGTACAAGTACTTAATATGGCCATTCTTATTTAAGGGTAGGATAAACAGAAAGAGAAATAACATCTCCACCATCCTAATTTTGACTACTCTCTTTCTACCACCCCCCAAAAAATAAACTGCCAAAGAAAAGATGTCATCATTAAAACATTTAATACCACCATTTTAACACATCTTCAAATCATAATTTTCCAGAATTGAAAAAAATAGTAACTTTAAAATAGACCAGTATGTCCACTTCAAAAAAAATGCAAACTTGTACATGTGCTCTAATTAAATTAACACATAAATATTTTCATAAAGTGTGAAAAACAAATTACACCATAGCAGCATTTATGACAGCATATGTCTTGCCAGCTTCCTCACAAAATTGTATTACAAAGAAAGTCTGTTTGTAAAACTGGAAGTCATGTTTTCTGACTTAAAGGGCAGAGAACAGCAAAATTACAGCTTTATGAGTTGTTAATCCCACCTTTTCAACTCGGAACTCAAACAGCCATTTGTACCATAAAATCCTAATGCTGCATAAATCATCTCATACCATATATAATATATAAAATATATATAATATTGAAAGATTAATGTTTAACATGTCTACAAAGTTAAAAAGTAGTAAGCTACACAATTATATGATTTTCTACATCTACGTTTATTTCAAAATAAAAAGATTAAAATTCAGTTCAGGTGTCACGACAAAGTAAAGTAAAATCACTATGATCAATGGTATCAATGTGGCCTTTGAAAATATTTTTCCTTTTAATATCCTTCCAAAATATACAAATTTGGACTTCATCACCAGACTTTATTTTAATTCATATCATGGGTCTTCTTAAAGAGGATTATATGTTCCATTGTATGTGTTTATATGAAATCAATTAGTTTCCCATCTAAAATCTATTTCTTCTTATAAAGTTATCATTTATTCCCTCAGTATAAAGCATAAAACTAAAAATCCTATTTCTTATATTGATTTCAGGCATCCTTTTCAAGCGTACTTTGTTTAGTCAAAATACCTATCTAGTATATATACACAATGGAATACTATTTAGCTATCAAAAAAGATAAACTGATGCCATTCTCAGCAACATGGATGGAGCTAGAAGGGATTATGCTCAGTGAAATAAGCCAGAAGGAAAAAGAAAAATATCAGATAGTTTGACTTATAGGAGGAATATAGAGGAACCAAATAAGAGCTCAGGAGAAAAAAATAACAATTTACAATAATAATAAACAAAAAACAAAACGAGCAGACAACCATAAATCAGAGACATTCTGCAAGGGAGGGGGAGGAAGAGGAGTCAAAACAGGAGAGAAGAGCACAAGGGACTATGGTGATGGTGCATGGGTGAAGTGGTGGTGGGAATTTTACAGGGACTACACCTAAAAGGAGAAAGCATACAAGCATACATTGCACAAAAATGAAAAATGATGTAAAATATATGTGTGTATATATATATAAGAAAATAATAAATTTCAGCAAACTTTAAAAAAATACTTACCTATAAAAGTACAGTATAAAATGAAACACTGAAAAAGAAACCCACTAGCCACTAGACATGAGTTTTATTTTTTTTAATTTTTGCATAATGTATGCATTTTCATTTTGGTTATATTCCCCATACAATTGCACCCCCCCTTATTTTGATCCTAATGCTTCCTCTCCCCAGCCCCCCCCCCGAAGTGTGTCTCTGGTTTATGGTTGCTTGTTGATTTTGATTTTTTCTTTGTTATAATTAGTCTTTTTCCTGGTCCCTTATTTAGGTTTTCTAAATTACTGCTATGAGTAAGACCATCCGGTATTTTTCTTTTTCTTTCTGGCTTATTTTGCTGAGCATGATCCCTTCTAGCTCCATCCATGTTGCTGAGAATGGCATGAGTTTATCTTTTTTGATTGCTGAGTAATATTCCATGGTGTATATATACCACATCTTCTTGGTCATTTATTTTTGGGCATTTGGGTTGTTTCCAAAGCTTAGCTATTGTAAATAGTGCTGCTATAAACATAGGGGTACAGGTGCCCTTTAGAATTAATGTTTCTGTGTCATTTAGGAAAATACCTAGAAGTAGAACTGCTGGATCATATGGATAGATATGAGTTTTGGAAATGAAGATAAAGCTAAGTTAGCAGTTTTACAGACTATGTCATATTCTAAATGTATTATATACATAAGTATTAAGTCTACACACAAAAATTCGAGGAAAAAAAAGAATTAACCAGTTAATTTTTAAAGCTCACCTTCTTGAAAATAAAGACATTTCCTTTCTTACTTTCTTTTAAAGTGACTTTATATTATGTTCCTTAATTAGGAAATCTGGAAATTAATGAATACTTATTTCACTAAGGAAGTATTTTAAAAATTAACATGGAATTATTCTCCGTGTTGCACATAAATTTGAGTCATAACAAAACAATATTAAGTCACATACATACAGGGGGAAATCACAGAGCACAAAAGTGTATTGTTTAAGTGACTAAACTTACCTAATTTAATATCTCCATCTAAGGTAAAAAGAATGTTGCCAGCCTTTAGATCTCTGTGGATGATTTTATTATCATGTAAGTAGTTCAATGCCTCTAAAGTCTGTTTACAAACTACTTGTATTTGAGATTCAGTTAACGGTCTCTCAAGTTCTACAAGGGAAAAGAAAACAAATCTGTATATTTATACCTTGAAAACAAATCAGCAGAGTATACACCTTTAGCATCACTACTAAGCAAATTTATTTTAGAAGAACTATCTATCCACAAAGATTACTTTCCTTACATTATAGTCAACATTTCTTTTTTCAAATCATTAAATTATCCAGGAATATAAAAATAACTAAGCTGATTTCTTATTTATTGGACTTCACCTAAAAGTGAAAGATATATATGTATAAACGTTGGAAATACTTTGTTTTTTATTAAGTATAATTTAAGATGAAAATATAACAAACAAAAAGTATTTACCAAGCATCACAGCATCCACTGCTCCACCTGCACAAAATTCAATGAGGATCTGCAGGCAAATAAAAAACCACATGTCTAACACTACATTGCGTTTGATAATTTTTTTTCAATTTACAAAAAAAGATAAAGGAATAAACATCAATCTAGATTACAGAAATACTATTATGCTGACCATAAGGATTTTCTATGTCAAAATAGTTGTAAGCCTTAAAGATACACAGTTAGGAAAGCACAAAGAGAACACACTGGAAGTATATTTTTATTTTTTGTTTATGTATATTTTTTTAATCACCATTTTTAGCATCCCTGCTTCTCTAAAATTAACAGAATTTCTGTTCAAGAGAGCACTATATACATATTTCATCAAAATTGAAAGATTTTCTTACACATTTTTAAAGTAACTGTAATGATGTAAGTCATCAAATCAATTTTTTAACTTCAGTAACAGGAATAAATATGGAAACTTCTGAAATATAAGAAAAAAGACTTTTTTTAGCTAAAAATTAAATATGGGCCTCCCTGGTGGCCTAGGGGTTAAGTCTCAGCACTACCACCATGAAGGTCTGAGATCAATGGGAGCTGACCCACATGGCACAGCAGACCTCTCCTGTCTCATCCACTGCTCCCCTCAGCAGTGTATTTCAGTAGATCTGCCAGTTCTGCTCCCCACTCTGTGTCTAATGAATCTTCTAATTCCCCCCTCCCGCCACACCTCTGGGGGCCTGCACCCTAGTTCTTCTATGCAAAAATAATAAAATCTTTTTTAAAAGTAAAAAAGTAAAAATTAAATGTATAAAAACAAAAATTAATGAAATTTAAATACATAAAAATACACACACATAAACTTCAGATCCTAGCTCAATCATCATTTCCTGATGGATGTCTTCCTGGGTTTCGCTGGTACATACCACAAAGGACCTTTCCTTCTTAACCATATCATAGTTATAATTTTAATATTTATTGATTCTTTGATTAATATCTCTCTACACTAGAATGCCCCATACAGTTGTTGAAATTTTTATTTTGCAATAGTCTCAAGTAACAATCTTATTTATTTATTAACTGCCTAGGAGTTAATTTTCACTATGCTCTCCAGAAGCATTCTGCAAGAATATATTTCTAAAGAAATATATTTCTAAAGAAATATATTATCATAAATATAACTATAGATAACTTTTTTCAATTAGATATCATAACAAGTCACACAATTTCCTGCTTGTTTCCCCTCTGCCACTTTATAAAATAAAATAAATACCACTTTATTTTATTTATAGGTGTTCCCAATTACAAATTATTTTCAAATTCATTATACTATTTGAAAAATAATTTAAGAGGTACAACATTACATATCCTACAGATGAATAAACAAATTCATAAAGGTAAATTTATTTATTCAAGTCCCTAGTAGCAGTAAAAGAATCAAAAAATGTTTTATTTCTGTATCTATGTATGCCTAGTATTTCCTCATCTTTTAATATGTTTACTGCTCAACATATGGCATTGCACTACATCAGGCATTACATGATGTACTAAAGTTAAGCCAAATAATATATGATAAATATTTAACATTTCAAGTAAGTATTTTATAATTCACTACAATATTAACAAAAGTTTAAGATAAGAGATTATTCTAAAACAAAAACTTTAAAAAATTATAAATATGCTTAAATTTAAATTACAAATAAGAGTCACCATTTAATTTCGTAATTTAGGAAATTTAATATTCTAGCCAAATTGTCCAATGCCAAACCATAGAATATGGTACAATCTGAAACAGACATCTGTACATCCGCTGAGGCCAAGAATAATTATGTTGTTAATTACCCTATCATCAGCAGATCTACTCATAAGTAACATAAGTGAAGAGATTATGTAACATATAAAATAACCTTTCACAGTGTATCTCTCTTTCTGACAATTAACTCATTCTGGCTACTCCTATAAACAAACTGAAAATACTTGCCCAAAGATTGTTCTCATAGTAGAAAGCATCTAGAAGCTTGACTATATTGGGGTGATCACAAGACGCTAATATATCTATCTCCACCATGTAATCTTCAAGCTCTTCTTCAGATTTGGTGTCAATCACCTTTGCAGCAGCTAAAACATTGGTCTCTTTATTCTGGGCCTAAAAATGACAATATCAGAGAAATCACATTTGCAATGCATTCTCTTTTTTAAATTATTTTATATAAACTTGTTTTGAGTAATTTTAAGTTCACAGCAAAGCTGAATGAAAAGTACAGATAATTCCCATATACTTCCCATCCCTACTCATGCACAGCCTTCCCTACTATCAACATCCCACATCAGAGGGATGTACTTGCCACAATTAATGAACCTACACTGACACATGATTATCACCCAAAAGTCACAGTTTATACAAGCATTCACTCTTGGAGTACATCCTATAAGTTCTGACAAATGTATGACATGTATCCATGTAGGACAGCTTCACGGCTTAAAACTCCTCTCTGCTCTGACTATTCATACCTCCCTTCTTCCTAACCCTTGGCAACCACTGATCTTTTTACTGCCTCAATAGTTCAGCTTTCTCTGAATGGAACTTTTCAGATTGGCCTGTTTTACTTAGTAACATATATTTTAGGTTTCTCTATGTCTTTTCATGATGTGCTCGTTCATTTCTTTCTAGCACTGAATGACAGTCCATTATATAAATATGCCATAGTTTATCCACTTGCCTAATAAAATTTTGGTTGTTTCCAAGTTTTTGCAATTACATATAAAACTGCTATCAATATCCACATGCAGGTTTTTCTGTAGACATAAGTTTTTAGTGTAATCACTGAATCATGTGGTAAAGAGCATATTTAGTTTTATAAGACCCTAACCACCCAGTCTTCCAAAGTGACATTTATTTTCACCAGCATTTGTGGGAGTTTTGTCACTCTAAATAGGTATGCAGAGGTATCTCCTTGTTTTAATTTGCATGACATATGTTGTCAAGCATCTTTTTAATATGTTTACTGCTCATCTGCATATCTTCTTTGTTAAGGTGTCTATCCAGATCTTTTGCCCATTTTGTAATCAACTGCTGACTTTTAGGAGTTCTTTATATATTTTGAATAGCCCTAGTCAGATAGGTGTTATGTTAAACTTTTCTCCCAAAGACTTGCTTTCTCATATTCTTGACAAACTTTTTTTTAAAAGACAATCTAAACATAAATTCTAACCAATGCATGCTGTGCCAAGTGCATAAGGGATAGGCTCCCCTCAGGGTTCAAATTCTGATTTGCCACTTACTAATCTGTGTTACTTAGGACAACTTAAAACCTCTCCCTGTTTAACTTTTCTCCTCAGTAAAAGTTTTCTACATCTCATAAGTTGGTGAGAATTAATAAAATATTTAACAAGGAGGTGGAAGTAAGGGGTTTGAGGTTACATATAAACATTTACTTCAATGTCTCCTGTATAGAGCAAGGATTCAAAAATGTTAGCTGTAATTATTACTATTACTAATCCTTGCAACAAATCCATGATATATTACTACCCCTACTTTAAAGGATAAACTTGGAGAGATTAAAAAGATTCCTCAAGGTCACCTAACTTGTAAGAGACAGAATCAGGATTCAAATCCAGATCTGTTTCCAAAGTCCTTTCTTTAATCATTCCCCTTTCTTGTTTCCCTATGCTCCTATCAATTTGTACATTTTTCTTTGTTTTTAATACTTTGATTTTTCCATTTTCTTTCTTTGACTGAGTAAGTTCTCACTTTCATTTACTACAAATAAAAAATTTCCAAGTATACAGTAAAATTCAAGATCATTTTTGAAAGTTAGGGAGCAGATCATAAAAGAATAATTTAGTTTTTTAAAGACATTTTAGCTTGATATGTGTTATCATAACTTTAGCAAAACTATAGCTACCATCTTAAAAGAAAAAAATAAATCAAACTTTCAAGTTAGTAGTGTTTCAACAAGCGTCCCAGCCTACATTTAGAATTTATCAATAGAAGATTTTACAAAATAGGGCCTCCCCAGTGGCACAGCGGTTGAGCGCTGGGCTGCGAAGCTGCCCACAGCCTCTGCAGCGCCGGTTCCATCCCCTGCTGCCGGTGAGGGTCCCACATGGCGCACAGACCTCTCCCTGCCACACCCACTGCTCCCCTCAGCAGTGAACTTTGGTCCTTCTGCCTGTTCTGTTCCCCGCTTTGGCTCTGGTGTATTCTCTCACCCTCCCGCGCTTCTGACTGTACCCAGTGCTTGTATAAATAAATAAATAAATCTTTTTAAAAAAAAAAGATTTTACAAAATAAAAACATACACAAAACAATTTATTAAAGTGCTATTCACAGTAAGTAAAATTGAATCTGTCTAAATGTTCATTAACAGGAGCCTGCTTATATCATTCAGCACACAATGAAAAAATTATGTTACCATTAAAATTAGTTGGTTAATCAATTAGTCAATCAATCAAACTAACTGAACAGAAGCCACAACACATTGCTGAATGGGGGAAAAAAGGCAAGTTACTAAACATGAATGGTATGTAATTTTACAAAAACTACACTTTCATTTTCACACATGGATAAGACACAAGAAATGTCTGGGGAAGTATAATGAGAATGGTGGAGTTGAAGCAGATGAAGCTTTTTACTTTTTCTGTATTTTTCATATTGATTTTTAATGGACATGTATTATTTTTACAGAAGTAATAAAGTACTCAAAATCAGTACATGAGATATTTCTTAGGGACCTAGCCTTGGAGATGACGATGAAAAGAATGAACAAAGCAAGGTATCAGCCTGTATCTAGGAATTTTTCCTAAGTTGTTAATTGCTATATTTTTCTTCTTTAGAAAAAATTTTGTTGAAAAGAAATACGAATTAATTAACACTAATGTTTAGGATTCAGAGCCTATGCTGTGGGTTAAAAAATAACTATACTGGTCAACACTACTCCTCTAAAAGAATATTCTAATCTACCCTATTTGATGAAATCTAGGGTGACTTTTAAGGTGAGCCCTTATCTTATATTCTACTAAGAAAGAAAAACTACCAATTAAACTATGACAATACTTTATCATTTAGAATTTTTATGTTATACCTAAGTTCTTTTGGATATAGTTAAACAAAACAGTTACTGTATATTTATCATCCCTGTGCATACCAAAAAAAGTTAAATACTCCCTATTTAAATTTGACTCTGAATCACATTTTTACTCACAATTATCTAATGACTGAGTTATTTAATGATGGTCTTTCCACATAATATCATTCTCCAGCCATTAAAAACTTTGGTGATTCAGCATTTCTCAGTTGTGCTACTCCACCACTGTCTCCAAAATTTTCTTTGACGCCACTGACTCACATTTTGTGATTGTAATGATAATACTTTCTTGATTTTACCACAGGTGCTAAAAAAAGATTTTTTGGTAACAACCAGGATTCACATTCTTTCTTCAAAAGATTCATAAATAGTTTATGATTAAAAGGTCATTGTATGACATGCACAGGCAATGGCAGCATGACCACCACCTGACCCAACAACACTGGGCATCCTTCCATAAAACACGGCCCAATCACAGGTATGTTCAAAAGGAAAATCTTTCACAACTTGTGAGATAGGGCATATCAAGTTTGTCTAAGAAAGATAGGACAATTGGGTCAATAATTAAAATTTATCCTACCCTAAATTAGAAGAAATAAGCCAGTAAGAGATAAATCCTTCTCACATTTGAATGTAACACTTTGGGAATAAAGAGACCAAGAAACTGTCTTTGAAAGGAACACTATAAAATCTGAGGTAGAGGACCAAGGACACTGTGACGTCAAGAGACATCCTGCTCCTGCATGCTTCTACCGATGTGTAAGAGATTTTAAACATGTGTCTTTAACTTGTCAATGGAATGGCACGAAGGGGAAAAATTAAAATAAATAATCTCTCAAATTCTTTAAAGTAACAAATTCTATTATTCCATCCTCCTGCGTATACTGATTAAACCAACAATGCTACCCTTTGGCTTAATATAAGTAAAAAATGCTACATTAGAAAGTATAGTGCCACTTACACTATTGCTAACTAAACCTAAAATAGACACTGATAAATGTGTGAAACTGTACAAATAAACTTAAAAATAAAGTGTTAAAAGTTCTAGGGGCCTCGCTGGTGGTATAGGGGTTAAAATCTCAGCACTATCAAGCTATTGACAGCCACTGCAACTAGTTCGATCCTCAGCCAGGGAGCTGACCCACATGAGGCAGCAGACCTCTCAGACTGCCTCACCCGCTGCTCCCCTCAGCAGAGTATTTCAATAGATCTGCCTGTTCTGCTCCCCACTCCGTCTCTGGTGAATCCTCTCACCCCCCACACCTCTGGCCTACACCCCGTTCTTGTTCTTGTATGCATAAATAAATAAATATATCTTTTTAAAAATTGCATTATCTAAAGCATAAAAAAACCTTCATAAAAAGACTTAAAGAAATAACTAAACAAATATAAAAACAGCAATGGAATTAAGAAATTTTCAAATGTGGATTTAAAGAACATATAGTTTCTACTGATAAAAAGTTTTCAAAGATCAGCCATAATAACCTAAAAATCACAATGCTCTTATTTTAATGAATCATGAAATGAACTTGGTCACTTTACGTAACCCAATAGGAGGCTGCAGGGAAACATAACTTATCTGAGATTCCTTACCTGGTTTCAGGTTCTAAATAAAATAAGGTAAAAATTACATTTTTATACTACTCTAATTTTAACAGTGATTATTTCCTGGGTGATGTGAGTGAGTACTTTAAATATTCATTTATTTAGATGACATAATCTCAAGGGTAAGGGCTTCCTCCCACCAAAATAAGAATCAAATTGCCCAGTGTATAAGGATATTCAACACTAAGAAAATAAGTAAAATTACTCAGTATCACTTAACAAAGACATACACTTGATTTTCAAGTGTTAGTTATGTTAGTTATGTTATGTTAGTTATGTTCTATAAGGTTGCTGCAAATACTGAATTAGTAAATACTATACAACCACTGCATATACTCTCTCACACACACACTCCTCATATAGGTCATAATCTTAAATCTTAGTAACAACTCATCCTGGTAGATTCTATATTAGTTTACAAAAGAGAAAATGGGAAGTATCAGATGACTTCTGT